CACATGAACAGTGGCATCATGACCTGAGCCCAAACCAAGAGTTGGATGCTTAATTGACTGAGCCATCCAGATGCCCCTGAACTTAGTGATTTTAATTTCCTATTATTTCTTTCTTCTTTCTCCCTATTTTAGACTCTCTTTAATATGTAGCTGCAGCTTCCAAAATGGAACTTAAATATCTTCTCTTGACACCAAGGCCCATTGGACCCTGTGTGATATCTCTGGAGAACCCAGGGAACCAATGTGGGTGGAGCTCCCACTTTTGGGTTACCCTCTGTCACCTGGTGCAACGTGGTCTTGAGCTCCTTCTGCTCCTAGAGATATCAGTAATATTATTCTTTGGTATTTTATTTCCTGTAGTCTCCAAACTCCCAGGAAATCTGTTTCAAGTCTGGCTGGGTAAGGAGAGAGGAAGGTGAAGACAGAGGAGGAGATTATAAACATATAGTCATGAAGCAACATGAAGCAACATGAGCCAGACATTCAAAGTCAACCTTCTTTCGTGGCCACGCTCTCTGCTGAGGCTTCCAGTTTGCCTCAAAGGGTTGAGAGTCATTACCCAGAGATATGACTAAGTAACTTATCCAGGAATTATCCAGTGTAAACTTTCCCAAAAACTTGAAGTGTTCCAGCAGCAGCCCTGTCTTTACTGCATTGGACTTAAAGAGTCTGGACAATGTGCCTTGAAACCACTCCATTAGAGATTTAGTTCTTTGGATTTTGTGTATTTTCCAGCCCTCCATAAAAGTGCTAGGAATCCTGATCTTCATCTGAACAGAGCCTTATCTGTTAGCTGGCTGAGGAAAAGTTAATGCAAGAAATAAGTCACAGTTTAGAGCCTCAGAAGGAGAAAAAAAGTAGAGACTAAGAGATATGTCATTTTTTGCTTCCTCTCATCATGAAACTTGTTTATCTTTTCTTTGTTACTGCAAAAATAATCATTGAGGGAAATTAAGGGTTGAATTGTATTCCCCCAAAAGTTTTGTTAAAGTCCCAATCTCTAGTGCCTCAGAATGTGGCCCTATTTGAAAATAGTGTCACTGCAGTTGCCATTAGTGAAGATGAGGTTATCCTAGAGTAGGATGGACACTTAACACAATATGACCTGTGCTCTTATAAAAAGATGGGCATGTGAAAACACAGTGACACAGGGAGAATGCCACGGGAAGATTAGAGTGATGCATCTACAAAACAAGAATGGCAAAGATTGCTGAGAAATCACCAGAAGCTAGGAAGAGGCAAGGAAGACCTGGATTTCACACTTCTAGTTTCTGGAATGATGAGACAATAGATTTATGCTGTCTTAGGTCATCCAGTTTGTGGTATTTTGCCTTAAGAAACTAGTACAAAGGCCCATGTGTCAAATCTCATCCTACTGGCTTTGGATCATAATCAAATAAGATGCGATCCCATTCTCAGGAAAATACCAGACAGGATTTAAAAAAGAGAGAGAGAAAGAGATTGGTTAAGAGGTTGTATTTTTAGGAAAAGGGCTTTAACAACATTGTATATGTATATGTATATGTATATGTATATGTATATGTATATGTATATCTATATCTATATCTATATCTATATCTATATCTATATCTATATCTATCTATATATCTATAGAGAGAGATATGCATGTATTATACACACACTCTACAATAAATAAAAGAGTTGGCCTGGAAAAAGTGGAGCCCTGATGGGATGACACAGGTAAGATAGCCTCTGTCTTCTTCCTTTGGAAGCCCTGAGATGACAACTTTGGAGACTGAAAACATGGTTTGTGTTTATGGGCAGAGGGAAGCAGGGATCACCAGATGTTGGCATATTTTCCAAGAACAGTATGCATCAAAGTCAATTCATTACTTTTGACTGGGAAGTCAGACTGGTAGATGACAAAAGGTAGCAGACAAAGCATAGCAAGAATTAGACACACTTGGCAGTTTTCCTTACGATGTCTTTATGGACAAGATGAAGTGGTTAAGTTGGGGATTTAGGACAGCTATACCTATGGATTGGTGATTAATTAATGGAGCTATGCCAGCCTGAGTTGAGGTTTCCAGTGGAATGCCAAGAAGCTCTTACGTAAGTGCTGCCATTTTCCACATTTTTATCAGTGACCTGGAAGATTCAAGCATTGCCATTTTTTTCTTTGATGGGCCAGATGACTCCATCTATATCTAGAGGTATGCATGCGGTTCTGGATGGAGCCACTTACTTAAGGAGGGCACAGGGAAGCCAGAAGATGTTTTGAAGAGTGACTAGGTTAGTAACCTGGAAAACAGTAGTAGTTATGTAACACACACACACACACACACACACACACACACACACACCCCAAGTGAGGTATTTGGGGATATTGAGGCTAAACAATGGAGGACCCAAGAAAGACATGGCAGTCAAGAGATAGTTTTACTTGGTTTGAAGGGTTGTGATCAATGGATCAAACAGTAGGAAGGCGACCTCCACTTGGCATAAAAGGAGCTTTCAGGATGTTAGAGTAAAATAAAAAATGCTGACAACAACATTTGAAAGAAAGCAAATCTCTATGGATTAATCTATAAATTTAGTAAAAACTCCAGGAGGGTTCTTTTTTAGGAATCTAATAACTTGGTCTAAATATGTAGAAGAATAGAGGCCTATAAGTAGCTAAACAATTTTTTTTAATTTATTTATTTTTGAGAGAGAAAGAGACAAAGTCCAAGTGGGGGAGAGGCAGAGAAAGAGAAACAGAATCTGAAGCAGGCTCCAGGCTCTGAGATGTCAGCACAGAGCCTGACATAGGGCTCAAACCCACGAGCTGTGAGATCATGATCTGAGCCTAAGTCAGATGCTCAACCGACTGAGCCACCCAGACACAGCAGTAGCTAAATCACCTTTGAAAAAGAAGAGCAAAAATGTTATTCTTGCCCAAAGAATGGTAAGGTATACCATACAGCCATGATAATAAAACAGGGGGGGAGCCGGTGCGGCCACAGGGAAACAAGCCAATGGAAAAGAAGAACGCAGTGACAGACTTACGCCATTAGGGCAACCTAGTGCACGTTGGAGATACAACTCAGTGGCGAACAAATGGATTGTTCAATGGGTGTTGTTGAGGAAACTGGTGGACTGTGCGGGGAAAAATATAGATGGAAGAATTGGTGTAAAAGTGGATGTAGAACTAGATGTGAAGGAAACTCTAAAGCAAACCGGAAAAAAAATATAGAGATACATTTTGTGATTTTGGAGTAGGAAGGACTTAAATGAAATTGCCAGAACACAAAGCCCTAAGGGGGAAATATTCAACTGTCTATTTCAAAATGAAAGAATTTTCAGTGATAACCTATGCAAAGTTATCAGAATAAACAGTGATAGATTGGAAATAGCTATTTGCAACATGAACACCATGAGAAGTGAATACCTAGCTATGCAAAACACCACAAGTAAATATCTAGGATACATAGATCAATTCACAAGTGAAAGATAAGAAGCCTAGTTACGGGGCACCTGGCTGGCTCAGTCGGTCGAGCATCCAACTCTTGACTTCAGCTCAGGTCATGATCTCACAGTTTGTGAGATCAAGCCCTGCATCAGGTTCTGCACTGACAACACAGAGCCTGCTTGGGATTCTCTCCCTCTCTCTCACCCTCCCCTGCATTCTCTCTCTCTCTCTCAAAAGACATAAATAAACCTCTGAAAAAAAAAGAAGCCTAATTAGAAAAGGTCCTATCAAGATAGACTTGTGAGACCTTGGTTTCCTCATTTGCTCATTCAATAAATACTTATTGAGTGGCTATCACATATCAGCACTGTTCCAGGCACTGGGGATATAGCCGACAATGCTTCCTGCCCTTATGTCATTTAAGTACTCCACAATATTCTCTTCCGTTAATAGGAAAAAGACATTAGTTTCTACTAAATGAAATTTCCTTTTAAATGTCAATGGTATCAGTTTGAATTGTGAGGAATTTTTAGGGTGCATTTCTTTTAAATTCATACTTCTGCATGATGATAAATAACTTCCAAGGACACACAGGTTTGACAGGCACAGAAAGCTGGCGCTTCACCCGTGTTTGGAGTGTAAAGCCTAGTGTTTGGGTGGACCCAGAATGCCTAAGACTGAATCATGGCTCTTCTCTATCACCTATGCATAGTATTTGGCAACTTTTCTGAGCTTCAGTGTCTTTATCATAAAATGGAACAGACTTGCTGTGAAATTGGTAAAGGATTAAATGATATAATATAAAACAGGACAGCATCTGGCACATGATAAAAACTTAATGTTGGCTCTTTTTACTTCTATGTCTTGATTAGGACCTTACGCTTCCAAAAATTGTTATTTTCCTGCACACCGTATTTCAAAATGAGTACGGTAACATCTTCGGGTTATGAATCAGGTAATTCGTTTTCCTTTTAAGTAATGACCAGAAAAGCAAATCAAATGCTTTCCCTGCCTCTGTACCCTGGTGGTGTCTGAGGCGTGTCCCATGGGTTAAACATTAATCCTCCTGTGTGACACCTGAACTCAGCATTGCAGGACTGGAGGGGAAGTGAGAGACCGACTCACCAGGCCCAGCCCTGTCCCACACAGGAGGATTCAAAGGCCTGGAGGAGTCAAGTGCCCTGCCCCGAGTTGCCACAGCTAGAACCGTGGTGCTACTTGTGTGGTTATGATTAATTGGTTGTGATTAAAAAAGATCATCATGATTAGGAAATCAAGGTTGTGGTCAGGAAAGAGTCCAGTCATTCAGCTGACTTTGTAAAATGGGATGAACCGGTGACATGAATAATCTCACTTAATTAGAGACCTGGACTCCAAAGACTTCCAGGTCTGAAGAATTCGCAAGACATCCCGGTTTGACTGTCATGCTTTGGTGCAGCGGGTGGAGCCAGTCTTCCTCATTAGAATAAGGTAAACAGATTCGACCCAGTTATAAATGGGGGGAAAAAATGTGTGTCCTCTGTCACTGAGGTTTGTAGAGAGCGGTGCCGGCTGGAGAACTCAGTGCAGCGGAGAACAGGGGCAGAACATGAGTTCCAAGTCAAAATCCATTGGGATCATCGGAGTGCCTTTCTCAAAGGGCCAGGTGAGTAAAACACCCGGCTTTGAATAACTGGAATTTATCACAGAGTTTCAGACTTTAGAATTAGGAAAGTGTTCATGTCTGGTTTTAAGTTCCCTGGCGCAACTGGGCCTGAAATATATATTTTAAAGTCTTCTTACCCTTTTGCAACATTGTAGAATTATGATCACCATGTCACCTATCCTGGTGGTTCCTAATCTCAGCCACAGCCAGTTCTATTTGAACCTACTAAGTTTTTCTTCTTATTGTTTAAAAGAACATATTTTTATTTGAATGGAAATGGACTATTTTTGTATTATAGCTATTCACTGAGATTTCCATGTTCTTGTGGTTTTGGGTTTTACAGTGCATACATAGAGGGCAAGAGGATTTTAAGAAAACACAGTGGTTTAGGGATGTATTAATGCCTAGAGCCATTTCATAGATTGGCAGCAATTTTCAGACTTCTTGTAATTTGCATAACCTAAATGTTATTGCTTTATGCAACTTTGTGACTGATTCACATCATTTGAGGGCTTTAATGCTTCTGTGAAAGTGCTAGTTCATGGGCTGGGCAGAACCCTTTGTGTAGCCCTTTTTGAGGGAGGACAAAAGAAAGAAAAGAAAATCCAACTGGAAGTTGGCAGTATTGAAAGGACCGATGCATTTATGAAATTCCCTGATGGCCAACACATGCCAGGAACATTTCATTACATGGTCTTTTCTTCTGCCTGGGCACACTCATTCTGGCAGATAGAATGTGATTATGGACACCTTAGGCTCCAGGATGCATCTGTGCTTAAAGGGGGAAATAAAGAACAAAAACAAAGGCAACCTGACAAAGCGAATTGAAACTCCTAGGGGTGAAACTTTGTCACTGTTGTTATTTCAAACGGGGTCATCTTTGTCTCTTTGCCCATGTAGGCCGTACTTCGCTCCTCTTAGTTTTGAACCTGTGCTTGGCACTCTGGCATTTTATTGCAAAACAGATTGGGAGAGGTCAGAGGGTAGAGACCCAAACTGCATTTGGACTGTCAGTAAATACGGCAGCACTTCCCTCCTAGTCCTTTAAAGCCCTCTCCCGAATCATGGGGACATTTGGCTGACGGAGAAATGTTTCTTCTAGTGCTGGGGTTAATCGCAAAACCCACAATGTACTCGCCTATTCTTGGGACAGGTTTTAGCAAAGACAGAATTAAAATAGCTGACCAAAAGGAAGGAAAGGAGGGAGGAAAACAAAAAATTTCAGAAGGAAGGAAGGGAGGCTGAAGGGAGGGAGCGAGGGAGGGAGGTAACAGCCTGAGCATACTCTGGCCCCTGGACCTCGGCAGAGGACCTTATGCTGATAGGGATAGCCCTTCAAAGGGATAGTATTTTGAAATACAGCCTGATGCATTTTCCATTCTTGGTATTTCTTTTTTTTTGTTTTTCCCTGCAGCTCTTCCCCTATTAATGGCCCCATGAGAATGAAGCTTACTGTCTCGTGGTAGTAAGGAGGCAGAGATATTTTTGCACTAAGCCATAGCATAGAGGGAAATGGTGGCCAGCATATTAGCATCTCTCCTCACCTAAAGGAGGTAGAAGTCTGACAAACAGGCAAAGGAGAGGATTAGAGGATTAGGATGAGGAGAAGGTTGAGTCTGAAAAAAGCCTCCGTCCCCTGCCTCACTCCCTCGCAAGGCAGTGAGGGGTGGGGGAGAGGCGATGGCAAAACATGAGGTATTATATTTATTTTATAGTTAACTGAGGATCAGAGAGGTTTAGTAATTTGCTAAGTTGCTAGCCTTGGCTGTGTGGTTCCAGACAGGATTGTATGATTCAAAGCCTATGCACCTGACTTGTGTTGATGCCTGTAGAGCCACAGCATACTTCACACTTGTGGGCAGTTAGGGATCTGGACCCAGCTTCAGAGTCAGTAGAGCTAACAAAATGATTTCCAAACTGCTTGGATAAACCAAGCAACGAGGAGATACCAATCGTGAGAAGCATTTTGAATCAAACAAATAAAGAATGATGGAAAGAGTCACTCTGGGAAATGTAACCACTGTGTTAGAGCAGATATAGTGTCAACCAAGGCGTCTGTAAGACTTGTTCTAAAGCTTGAAAGGAAGGGGGAAAAGACCAGGGAGTTTTCTCAAGGTGACAATCTGTGAGCACCTACTAAGTGTCAGCCCTATACTACAACATGTAGCGCCGCAAGTGGAAAGAACATTGGACTGAAATCTAATAAGGAGGAAAGACAAAGCAAGCAAGTACAAAACCAAAGGCAAAACTTGAGCCAAGCAGCACTCTATTGAGGTTTAAAGAAAGGGAAATTATATCTGCTTGATGAAGGATGTGTGTGTGGGGGCGGTGGGGGGGGGGAGGGTAGTCATTCAAGAAGGGAATGGAGAAAAGGAGCAACATGTGTCAGGAACAGGAATTTGACATTGAGGATTTGCCTAGCAGCCAGGGTGAGTCATCTGGAATTAGGTAGAAATATTTGCTTCATTTGGTGCCATAGCCCCAATCCCAGGGATATAGACACATGAGCCTTTTGGCACATCTCATGGGACAATGCAAAATAACGTTCTGTGTCTAAAAGCCTTGTTGGAAATTAGAATCAGAGAGGTGCATAAGAAAATTGTTTCTTAAGACTTCTATTCTGCCAGGAGTCTAGAGAGGATTTATTGCAAGAAGGAAGTGTGTTCGCTTTTCTGATGTAAAAACAGCAAGAGGAGAATTCTTGTCCATGGTGCCTAAGCAGGTCAAAACCTGAAATACCGGGCTAGTCTTTGTGGATTCAGCTCCCAAGTGATGACGTTCTGCTGCCTGCTTTCTCCCCAGGAGCTTGCTAACTCACTGCCATGAGGACATGCACGTAGGGCTCTCCTGCCTTGCTTTTTTTTTTTTTTTTTCCCTTATGCTTTTACCCAAGTTTTCCCCTGGGTTTGAAGTATTTTTCCATCCCACCATCCATTTTCCTGAAAACCTACTTGTGTTGCAAGACTCTGCTGAAATGTCACCTACTGCATGTAGCCTTACCTGACACATGCTCTGTCCCCAGCTGAGCTAGGAACAGCCTGTTTTTGTCGTTACGGAATCTTGTATCTGCATTGAAGTAACTCTCCTAGTACCGTAATTGGGGTTCAATATACAAATTCCATATTAGCTTATGAGCTACCCCAAGAAAGAAGCCCTCTCTTTTTCATTATTTTCTATCAGAGTGCTTTCGCACAAAATACGTGCTCACCATGTTGATAACATGGTGTCTGTCATGGGGAGAGGCGATGCAGGTTCTGGAATCCAAAGAACTTGGATGTGAAATAAGGCTCTGCCACTTGTTAGCTGTGTGCCCATAGGAGAACTCTATAACCTCTCTGATTCTAGATCCCCATTTTTAACATAGGACTAATTCAGTCTACCTTGCTGTGATGATTAAATGAGATGGTGTAAATTCCCAGCTCTGTAGGAACTCAACTGATTAAATGAGAAGAGTTTCTATTGTGGGCAGCTGATCATATCTGAATTATTTTATTGTTTAATTGTTCAGCCACGAGGAGGCGTGGAAGAAGGCCCTACCGTATTGAGAAAGGCTGGCCTGCTTGAGAAACTTAAAGAACAAGGTAATTTTTCCATTGAAAGACGATCAGCCTGGGTTACCTGGGTGGCTTAGCTGGTTAAGTGCTGACTCTTGATTTCGCTCACGTCATGATCCCAGAGTCGTGGGATCAAGACCCGAGTTGGGCTCCACGCTGAGTGTGCCGCCTGCTTACGATTCTCTCTCTCTTTCTCCCTCTACCTCCTCCCCAACTTGTGAGCTCATGTGCTCTCAAAAAAAAAAAAAAGGTACAGGCTCCTGCTGGAATGGGGTATATCTGGAATGACATTTATCGCACAGAATTGCAGCACTAGTGATAACTTTAGAAATACAATCATATATATATGTGTGTGTGTGTGTATATATATATATATATATATATATATATATATATGGCAGTGTGTGGAGAAAATGCTCAGTAAGTATTGTTGGATGAATATCTTCACTCAGGTATTTTGTCTTTCCAGACAAACTTTTTACTGTATAAGAGAATCTGTGTGCAAGAACTGGGGTTGGGTGGGTGGTAAGGGAGGTGGGGGATTTGCAAATGAAAAGTAAGGGGCAGCAGGAAGTACAATGCTAGCAAGAGGACGCCTGTTTGTAAAAGGAAATAAATGATGATGTCGAGGATGATGATGATGACGATAGTACCTGGTGTTTGCATAGTGTGTATGTGCGTATGCACGTACATATACATTCACATACACATACGTGAGCAGACAAAGGAAAAAAAATGATATAGAATTTAAAAGTACAGGCTAAAGCAGATGTTGTCTTTGCATATAACATCCTGATGAAGTATCGGAGAGGACACAGGGCAACTGGAACCCTCCCGTTTCCAGTGGGAATGTATAATGATAGAGCCACTTTGGAAAGCAGTTTGGCAGCTTCTCCCAAAAAACATACATTTGCCTTTTGACCCATCAAATCTACTCCTAGGTATGTATCCAAGAGAAGTGAAAACACATCCCCACAAAGACTTGCACTTGAATGTTTCTAGCAGCATTTTTTATATAGCCAAAAAAAAAAAAAAAAAAAAAAAAAAAAAAAAAAAAAAAAAAAAAAAAAAGAAAAGAAAAGAAAATGCCCATCAACTGGTGAATGGAAAAATGACAAGTAGTACATCCGTACTATAAGATAGTACCCAACAATGAAAAGAAACAGACCACTGACACAGGCAAGGACATGGATGAACTTCAAAGACAACATGCTAAGTGAAAGAGACCAGACGCAAAAGACTACCTACTGTATGACCGCTTTTACGTGAAATTCTAGAAAAGACAAAAGCACAGCAACAGGAAGATGACCAGCAGGGGGGCCTACCTTGGGGTGGGCACAGGGCATGACTGCAAAGGGGCATGGGGGAGTTTGGGGGGCATAGGGGAAGTGTTCTAAATCTTGATTAAAGTGCTGGTTACAAGACTATAGATTTCTAGAACTCGTTGACCTGTACACTTAAAATGAGTGAATTTTAGTAAATAATAAATAAGAATTAAATAAGAATAAAATAGTAAATAAGAGTTAATTAAATAAGAATGAAATAGTAAATAAGAATTACACCTCATGAAGCTGAAAAAAGGAGGGAGCTAGAGAACAGAAATGTTGGGTAAATGGACTGGACTAGTGTCTCAGTAAACAAGCATCATTTGGTCAGATTTCATATCAAGTTAAATCTCTTAAAGGTGTTACTGAATCATGGATATGCGCAGGCATAAAATAAATACGATATACAATGACTAGTTAGATCAGAACACTGAACTGGTCCCATGTCAGTTTTACATGAAGCTCTCTGTACCTTGAAGCTTAATGCAAGGCTTTCTAGCAAATGCACCCATGTCCTTAGGAACTTTGGGTTACCTGCAATTTCTCCAATAAAAGTATAATAATAAAGCCTTTATTTCCTGAGTTCACTGAAGTGTTAGGCTCATTGCTGATAATATACTTATTGAATTTTGATACCACTACTGAGGCAGGTCCAATGCACAGAGGACAGAGCTGAGCTACTTCAGCAAGTGACAGATTGGATTGAAACCAAGGACTGTTAATTAGAGTCAGGAAACTTAGAAAATACTAGTGTATTTCCTTCTGGGCATAAATGCACACACACACACACACACACACACACACATATTCTTCTAAAAAAAACTATTTTTTATTATAAATACAGGACACGCTTATTGCAAAGGTGGAAAGAACATAGGCAGAGAGAAGGCCACACAGAGATCAAGACAGCGAAGCCACTCGTTAAGCCCAAACCAGAAGATTATCGCTGTCATACTTTAGCGTCCAGCCTAACTGGATTGATTCCACAAGTATTGACCGAGACCCCGGTGTACAGCTGAGAGGATGACGTCAGGCAAAAGTAGATGTGGATTTTTCTGCCTTTGCAACTTTTACAGCCCTTCCAGATGCTTTCTTTGCTTATAAAAGTGCACTGTTTTGTAAATTTGGAATCATCATACACAGACTGTCATCTTTTTTTATGTAGTAATCTGAAACTTTTGGTGTTAATTACAGGGTGTGATGTGAAAGATTACGGGGACCTGCCCTTTGTTGACGTCCCTAATGATCCTCCCTTTGAAATTGTGAAGAATCCAAGGTCTGTGGGAAAAGCGAATGAGCAGCTGGCTGGTGTGGTGGCAGAGGTGAAGAAGAATGGAAGGACCAGCCTGGTGCTGGGCGGAGACCACAGGTCTTGTTTAATGCTTTTCTCCATGAAGTCTGGCAGAAATGGCATGAGGGAGGATGACCAAAACCATGAGGAGAGAGAAAATATGAAAGGGAAAGCACTGATCAATGCTTTATACCAAATTTTCTGCCTTTTTTCCTTTTAATTGCATTGGTTGCTACTTTCTTTTGGAAACACAGACTCCCCTCTATTTGAAGTCTTGTGTTATCTTTATTACAGCAGAAAATACATGACATGAATGGATTTCCGTAAACAATTCCACACAAACTTACATTCCAAAATAAATAAATAAGCGTGAGGAAGTCACAGCCAGCTCATTGTACTTGATACGATAATAGGGTAATAGGAACAACTTATTAAAGCCAACATTTAAAGTCTATGCTGCCCATTATAAAGGTAATATTTTCAAATTCTTGAAACATACACACACGTAAATAAGACTGTAATAATTTTAGCTTGCTAACAACCATTTCAAATGAAACTGAAATTCTGGCATATTTCTTTCCTGCCATACTGTTTTTATTGTACCTGATTTTGTTTACCAAGTGCGTGTGTTATCCTATACATTATTCTTAACCTAAAGCACAGATTTCCTTATGTTACTTCATGATATAGATAGGCATAATTTTTATTGTTGCATAATTTTTCATCAAGGTATTAAAAACCACTATACATATCCATATTGTCAGATACTCAGGTAATTTTCAAATTACCACGATTATAAATGTGGCAAAAATATTTTTGTGCATCAGCCTTCTTAACGTCTACCCTCAAGGTCGCTGGATACATTATCAGAAGTCTGATCAGATCAGAAAGTACAACATTACAATCACTCTTGATGTAAGAGTCAATCACCTCAGCTCCTTGGTTTCCCCTAAAACTCAGCTGAGAAACTGGGGTTCACTTTCTTTTTAAGTGGAAACATTTGTAAGTGGAAATTTTAAGAGTGGCAAATAGCCTCAAGACAAGAAATCTGAAGGGAAAACAAACATCAAGCTGAGTAATCAATACTCAAACTTCAAGCAGAGGATCTGAGTGTTGAACAGTGACTAAGCACCCAGGATATCCTGGCTGAAATGCATACAAGGATTTCTGAGTGATACTCTCCAATTGTAAAATAATTGGATTTTAGGAAAAATGGAAGGATTCTGTGGTAATTCACTTGAGAGAATGAAGTATTTACCAAGAGAATTGAGAGTACAGAAAATCAGCCTGATACAATATTGAGAATTAAATAGTGTCTCATGCTAAGGAATTCGTGTGGTTAGTGTTTTACACAGATTTATTTTTTTGGCTTAAATAATAATTTGCAATTTTATTAGAAGGTGGTTTCCAAAAAACAAAAAAATCACAAGTTTTTTAGCAAGGCCATTGATGCAAACATAACTTGCTAGCAATTAACATAAGCTATGATTTCTCTTTTAATTGGCAGCTCTAATTAAAAATCTGTCCGAAATAGCAGCCATTTTGACTTAAAGGAAAACCAAGTGAGAGCACTGAGTTAATAATATGATGGATGTCATAAACCGCAAAGCTGATGTTTACACAAACTTTTTTTCCTGTGTAGTATGGCGATTGGAAGCATCTCTGGCCATGCCAGGGTCCACCCAGATCTCTGCGTCATTTGGGTGGATGCTCACACTGATATCAACACTCCACTGACAACCACAAGTGGGAACTTACACGGACAACCTGTGTCTTTCCTCCTGAAGGAACTAAAAGGAAAGGTAAAAGGCTGGTTGGTATTCTATTACAGAAGAATCATCGCTTTAGCAGAAGTTCAGGAGATAGAAAGGAAGGAAGAACCCTGTGCCATCTTATTTGTGGTGTGATCTCAATCCATTTTCTCAGCAGTCAATAAGCAAAGGGGGTGGCAGATAAGGGTAGTGAGGCTCTGTGCCTCTGCCGTACATGGTAGTTTGCAAACTGAGCTTACATATATCTTCCCTTTTGATTTTTAAACTACCCTTTTTAGTAGGTGGGGCAGAAAGTGATCCTTTATATAAGCAAGTTAGCAGAGGTTCAGAGGTTATAACTTGCTCAAGATCACATGCCAAGTACATGGCAAGGCAAGGGCCAAAACCGGTCTCTGACAACCTACGTCTTCCTACTGCATGCCACACAGCCTGTCATTCTTACCGAGTGTCCCCTCCACGTCATGGGAATTTTCAAGTGTTTTAAAATGTGGATTACAATGGCTTATTGCTTAACATCTTTACTGTGAGAAGTTCATATCTACACCGCAAGAAGAAGAACTACCACCTGTTCCCTATAAACTTCTTTTCTAACACATATGACATTCTAGATTTAACATTGTGGTTCATAATTTTCATTGATATTCTGTAGCATATCAATAAAACAATTTTTATTGATATAGCTGTAGTATGTTGGTCTTTATGATGATCCTTGGGGATGCAAATCCCCTTGTTAAAGGCTCAGAACTGATGACCAAGTGATAGGTTTATAAACTTACATGGGAACAGCCATCCCTGGCTCTGGGACATTTGGAAAGCAACCAAAGGGCTGCCCGAAAATTCCCCCAGTCACTCTAAGCCATCCTCTGGGATTAAGTCCTTACTGATGAGAGAAAGAAGGAAGCTACAAAAGTAATGAAAGCACACTGATTTCTTTATGGCAGAGTTTTGGGAAAACAGGGTCCAGTGGAATGGGGCACAGAGCAGGTAAATGCTGACAAATGATTCAGGTCAGGTCTGGGCCACAGGGTGAGGGTGGGTAAGCAAACCTAGAGTGCCACAAGGGGAGGCAGGCATTCTCTTCCGAATTTTGTACTGTCTTTAATGATTTCCTCGAAACTCGTTTCTAAATGTAAGATATACGCAGTCCAATAAGTGCCCTTTACTTCTAAGGTAAGATCTGCTCAAGAATCATACACGTTAACCAAATGGAAACATTGCAATTTTAGATCCCTGATGTACCAGGATTCTCGTGGGTGACTCCCTGCATATCTGCCAAAGATATTGTGTATATTGGCCTGAGAGACGTGGATCCTGGGGAACAGTAAGTTTAATTCCTTGATGCGATTTACCTTTGCTTTCTCCCTTTTGCGTTCATGCTAGTCAAACCTGTGACACAAAAATTGTTTTAAGTACCAAGCATTATATCGATATCTACATACCCATGTAAGTATTTATGTATATAACTCAGGTGAATTTTTTATTGGCTTGCTGTTAAAAATACATTTATATATACATACAGGTCACAGAACTCAAATATTTTATGTATCATACCACAACGATCTTTTCTTTAAAAGGAAACAGTAGTGCATAGAACTAGACTCTTTATTAATTGTAGGTTATATTAATATCTCCTCTTTCATAGCTATATTTTGAAAACTCTGGGTATTAAGTATTTTTCAATGACTGAAGTGGATAAACTGGGCATTGGCAAGGTGATGGAAGAAGCACTCAGCTACCTACTAGGAAGGTAGGTATGATCCTTGTAAATATTACTAAAAAGACTTACTACTGACATTAATAGATGTTAAGTTATTAATAAGGACTCTATATAAAATCATAGAACTTCACTGGATTGTTACTTTTGATGAAACAAGGTAAGAACTGTATTTATGTACTACATATTAAACCACTAACTTTAAACTGAGTTTCCTGGGGTGCCTTGGGTGGCTCAGTTGGTTAAGCGTCCGACTTCAGCTCAGGTTACAGTCTCATGGTTCATAGTTCGAGCCCCACATCGGGCTCTGTGCTGACAGCTCAGAGCCTGGAGCCTGCTTCAGATCCTGTGACTCCCTCTCTCTCTCTGCCCCTCCCCCACTCACACTCTGTCTCTCTCTCTCAAAAAATAAGTAAACATTAAAAAATTAAAAAAAAAAAAATAAGCTGAGTGTCCTTCCCACCTCTTAAAAGAAAGAAAAGGCCAATTCATTTGAGCTTCGATGTTGATGGACTGGACCCATCCTTCACACCAGCTACTGGCACACCAGTCCCGGGAGGTCTGACTTACAGAGAAGGTCTCTACATTACAGAAGAAATTTACAAAACAGGTAGGTAAAAACTGGGGTGAATAAAGAAGCAAGTGTACACATGGCCAGTATAGATTTATACCCCCTGATCTCAAAGTCAAGGCCCATTGGACACTTCCAGAATGCCCATCGCATGATGCAATCCCCACCTCTTTACACTCCTGGATAATATTTCAAGTCAGGTTACGAACTAAAAACGTCAACTATTTAACAAATTACATTATTTTCATTTGTTATTACAGGGCTACTCTCAGGATTAGATATAATGGAAGTGAACCCATCTCTGGGGAAGACACCGGAAGAAGTAACTCGAACAGTGAACACAGCAGTAACAGTAACCTTGGCTTGCTTTGGAGTTGCTCGGGAGGGTAATCATAAGCCTATTGACTACCTTAACCCACCTAAGTAAATGTGGACATGTCATGTAAAAATCTCATAGCTAATGTCATAATTAGCCAATCTAATAACTTACTTAAGCTTACAGCTATTGCCCCAATGATTTGATCTTTCCAAAAAATCTTCTGCCTTGGTAATTATTATTAAAATTAGTATAAACTATCAATTCCCTCTGGTATGAAATTCAAGACTTGGACATTCTAACTTCTGTGAAATTGAAGTTTGTATTTCCCATTTTGGCAAAAGACATCCTTAGAGAAAGATACGTTAACTTCCAAATAAAATTTGCTGGCATTAAAAACAAACACACACCTGTTTAAGCCCACACATGTAGAATGGGACTCCTGATGTCAGCATATTAAGCTCACCCCACCTGAAAGGGATCATATTCTTATGTTGTTCAAAAGATGTGATTTTTATAATAAACTCTCTATATTAAGGTTCTCTCATGTCTACATGTTTCTAAATACATGGAATTGCTAAGGATTTAAAAAGCCACAGTGAAATCATCATCCTCAAAATTCTGTAAGCCTGGTGAAATGAAACTCTGGCTCTGGTTTCTTCAACTGCAAAATGGGTAATGATAGAGCCTGGGGAATCTCCGCATTCATTAATGTTTGACGATCATGTTTTACTTTTGTAAAAACCTCAGACATGGTGTTGGTTTATATTTTAAGCAAAGCTTCTATTCACGTAGGCTTTCTGGAGGCCTACCCTGGAGGTAGAAAAAAGAAATCAAATTGCTATTGTTTCTAAGATCTAACTCGGATAGGAATTTCACTTAAAATGATCTGTGGCTTCCAAACTTCTCACTTTTACTCATTGCAATTAGAGTGTATCTCATTAGCTGAAATCCTTAAACACCCTGAAAACTCATCTTGGCTATGGAATATAGTGAGGAAAGTGGAGAAAATAAATGAGAGTAAACTACAGTTGACCCTTGAACAACATGGGTTTGAACTGCATGGGTCCACTTATACACAATTTTTTGATACATACGGTACTGTAAATGTATTTTCTTGTCCTTAGGATTTTCTTAATAACATTTTCTTCTCTCTAGCTTCATTGTAAGAGTTCAGTATATTATATACGTAACAGACAAAATGTGTGTTGATTGACTGCTAATGTTATCCGTAAGGCTTCTAGTCAACAGTAAACTATCAGTAGTTAAGCTCTTGGGAAGTCAAAAGTTACAAACTTTCGACTATGTGTGGGGGTCAGCACCCCTAACCCCTGTGTTGTTCAAGGGTCAGGTATATAATTAAAACCAGGGAAGCAAACTCTTCCCCCTCTCCCCAACTTACATAGAAACTCAAATGGACTCTGTGATGAAGCAGGTCCCATGAAAGGATTTTTATTGTTGTTGTAACAGCTATGTGTTAAAGAGCCCCTATCACCTGATTTTTCACAAGCAATCCAGAATTTTAAATCTAACTGTTGACATTATAGACTCTGTCAGATACGTATTTTACTGAATTACTTTTAGGTCAAAGCAATTATGATACATCTTACTGTAAAGTATAATGTTCAATACAATAGCCACGTGGGGTTATTTAAATTATTTAAAGCTTAATAAAATTAAAAATTCAGCTCTACACTTCAAGTGTTCAGTACACGGACCTTCTGATTCTTGTACTGGACAGCACAGATACAGAATATTTCCACCACTGCAGAAAGTCCTATGGGACAGAGCCACTCTAGATTACTATTCATTTTCAGAAAGAAAAACTTTGAGGATGAAATGAATATAAAGGCGATGTTTTTCCCTCAGGTGCATTCTAAACCCAAATAAAGCTTCTATCTTCTTCTAATGTCTCTGATTAACAATTCTTTTAAAAGCCTATTTTGGGAAAATCATATCCCCTTATTTTTAGCTAGAGAGGAAACAAATGGAATTTTTAATAATTTAACTGGAATGTATTTGTCCTTGAGACAGTCACACTGATTTTCACTTCCTTTATTCTGTTTGTGTAACACCAGAGTCACAATTATTCCATTCTAGGATCTCAAAGCAATATATTCTTCAAGTCAGTAAGAGTAAGTGAAACTATGCCAAAAGGAACACTTGAAATCATTTCTAGCATAACATTTCTGGAGAATTTTAAGGAAATTATTAACCTAGAAAAATTACTTATACCATTACATACATTTTAAGCCAGACTTGCATGGCAAATAAAGATTTAGTGATTACAATAATATGAACCACAAGGAGAGATCTAAGAGAAATGTATTCAGAAATAAAAATCTAAAATACAGTTGGCCACATTTCTGATTCTTTAAAAAAAAAATCAGTAACTCTTAGTTCCTAGGTCAATGTCAGGAAAGTGGAGAAAATAAATGAGAGTAAACTACAGTTTATTAGGTCAGTGTCAGTCACCAAATGCAGTGTACAACCTGTAGAAACAGCCCGGTTCTCTTGCTACAACCTAGCCAGCATACTGCCTGGAACACAGCAGACACCCGTTCAGACTGAGTAATTAATCAGTTTTCTCATTCAACAGATTTTACTAATTATTTTCAAATCTTACAATCTTAACGCCATTGCCCCACCCTCCCCAAATTAACAGTTTGCCTCTTAAAATCTGATAAACCATAAAGAACCACAATGTATGCTATAATTAAAAATACATTAACTTAAGAATTTCAAGAGTATAAAAACTTAAAGAATCACATCATTGGCCAGGTGAGAGTGTCAACCTGGAAAAGCAATTAATTTACTTTTAGAAACAGAGATTGGAGAATCACCATTTAAGTATTATTTTATTAAGTTTATGCCTTTCTGTGTTATTTTTTTACATGGCTTTGAAACTCATTTCATACAGTAAGTTCAAGTCCATAGCAAAAGCAAAAACTTGCCAATCTGCCTTAATAGAAATGTTAGCCCATTTCTTTGGAAATCTATGGTAAAAATTTTAAGCCATTTTTAAAAGAATAGGAAACTGTGTTTGCTCCTGCAATGAAGTGAAAATTCGAGTCCTTTACTTGACAAAAATCTCCTATCCCAAAGATACACCAAGAGAGATTTATGTATAAAATGATTTGTAATAACTATTTCACATGTGTGTTGCCTTTAAAACAATGTATTTGAAAGCAGAAGTCATTAATAATAAAAATTAAAAATAAAACCGGGGACTAGATAGGAAAGATTGAAAGTATCTAGTAAGAGTCATTTGATCATAGATACCTCAGTATTCCTAGGTAGCTCTAATAAATTGTGATGGATATGAGCAACATGTAGTTTATCTCTTAGAGACAAAAATACAGGTAGGGAGATGGGAGTTGTAAAGTATCAACAGATTCATCATTTGAATCAAAATAAAACAATCTGAACATCACTGCTTCTACTGTATCTCTCTCTATGTAGCAGGATCATGTTCAGATTTAATAGATTTGAGCCCACTTCCAAAGACAGATGTGCTTTCCTTTTCACCGCGGTACACCCTGCCCTCACTGAGTGACCGGTAAGGACACTGGCACCTGATTAGACTGAGGTGCTGGAGACCCACTGTTTATGGCTTGTGGGGGCACTGCAGCTGGTTCCATCTTGCTAATGTGTGTGATGAATCGAAGACGAAGTTTTAAAGCTGGTTTTAAGTTACAGATAATCTTCTCTACCTGCGAAATAAACACATTAAAAAATATTTTAACCAGAGAACTTCAATTTCCCACCTTGAAAGAAGTGACTTATACATATCTGGAGATGACAAACTAGGGAGTAGAGTGGGCTGGATGAGGAGTTTCTTATGTGTTTCAGGTTTTAACAAAAGCAAATAAAATTTTTGTAAACAAGGAAAAAACTGCATTCTCCCTCACACACATTATATGTTATATATGTGTGTATATGTGTGTGTGCATATACCTATACATGCATACACTTACAAAAACATACCCACTTACCTAGCTAGCCAGTCATCTCACTGTCAAAAGCTAGTATAGTGTACATTACGCGTTCTTCATCCTTTTAAAATGCCACCATCACAGAAACGTGAAGCATGATTATACTTTGAAGTTCTTTGAATAACTTATATCTGTAACATTTATCAACACAGCTAATTTTTTGGTTTTGATTTATACTTGGAATTGAAACAAAATAACATTATATCTGCTTTTACTTAGGGGCCTCCAACTTTGGTTTTGCCTCAGGTCATGATCTCACGGTTTGTGGGATCAAGCCCCACCATCGGGCTCTGAGCTGACAGCATGGGGCCTACTTGGGATTCTCTCTCTCTCTGTGTCTCTGCCCCTCCCGTGTTCACACCCTCTCTCAAAATAAATAAATAAATAAATAAACTAAAAAAAAAAAAAAAAAAAAAAAAAAAAAAAAAATCTACTTTTACTTAGAAATAAAAACATCAAGCAGTTCCATGGCTTTCTTAGCTTCATTCAAATGCTCTTTGATCTTACCAGGAAAAATCAGCCCATTAATAATTTTTCCTTTCTGTATTCCCTGGTGTCCCAAATATACATATTTTTCAGGCCTCAATATAAAGGATATGCTAAATAAAACATTTCTGTATTGGTTCCCACTCAAATCTCCTTGACAATCTTGCTGAGGCATAAAGGAATCAACATCCTCCATACCCCATGTCCCTAGGTCCAAGGAAACAATCCAGTAGACGAGGATTCATGTGTTTATATATCAACTTACCTTCCTTTCCTACCAGAGAAAGAATAATATTAAGGTATGGAGAGGAGTTCACCTACCTTCACCTACCTGCCCTACCTCCATCCTTCTAAAAGAGCCAAGATTCTGTTTCCTACAGATAAGGAAACTCAGTTATGATTCAAGGACGTCCTTGCCACTTTCCAGTGACTTTACTAGAAAGTAGCTCTTTATATGTTGACTCAGAACGTGCTTCCCTTTAACTTCACTGGAGTTTGTGTGCCCTTTGAAGTGACACAGAACAAATCTAATGCCTATTCCAAATGGCAATCCTCCAAATAGTGAGAACATGAACAATTCCCTGGGACTTTGACAATTCATGTTAAGTTCCTCCAGTTCCTTCAAATACCCTTTCCGAATTATTCTCGTGATCCCCCTGGCTTCAGTTTTCTAGTCATGCTGCAATATGTCCAATGTCCCTAGAGTGTACCCTAATCACTGTGGGGGAAAAGCAGGACCTCCTTTACTCTTTACACCACACCTCCCTGGTCTTTTCAAAAAGTAGTCATATCATACTGTTTCTTTCTAATGAGACTACTATTAATCAACAACCTCGGTCTTTTTCAGATGCCCTGCTGCAAATATCAAGGAGGGAAAGTTTGAGAAATGATAACATGTATTCACTATTACTTTATACGTGCAGAATAATGTGTTCATATAGCCTAAAAAGGTCTAATAACATCAGCCTTCTCCTCTTAAAAGAAAAAAATTTAAAAATCTCAAACAAGGGGCGCCTGGGTGGCGCAGTCGGTTAAGCGTCCGACTTCAGCCAGGTCACGATCTCGCGGTCCGTGAGTTCGAGCCCCGCGTCGGGCTCTGGGCTGATGGCTCAGAGCCTGGAGCCTGTTTCCGATTCTGTGTCTCCCTCTCTCTCTGCCCCTCCCCCGTTCATGCTCTGACTCTCTCTGTCCCAAAAATAAATAAACGTTGAAAAAAAAAATAAAAAAAAAAAAAATCTCAAACAAAAGTATATCATCACATAGTCAAGTTGTATAAACTAAACATCATTAAAAGATAAAGTTAACTTACTTGTTCTTTTACGCTGTCACCAGTAAACATATATTTCATATGATACAGGAAGTCACAGATAGGGTCCATGTAATTTAGGTGGGCGCTACACTGGTCTACATTCAGCAACATGTCATAAAATGCCACACCGATCTATTTAACAAATAATATAAAATTATTTAAATGGGCAAAAATGTTCAGTAATTTAGAATGATGCAGCTGGACTCCATTACAAGACAAACACAGAGGGATAACATGTTTGTTGAAGAATTGTCGCTGATCATACAAACCTCTATGTGCATGGGATATATATGGTCTGCATTAATAATGGAATCCAGAGTGCTACAAAACTCCCCCCCAATAGGGCTTAAACGTAGTTTCTCTTCGTAACTCAGGAATGTCGCTTAAAATTAAGAGGTAGACAATCTCCTTTGTAGAAACCACTTCTCAGTGTCTGAGATAACCACAGTCTCAGAGATACTTCAGATTGTACCTTCTTAGTTCCATTTGGTGGCTCATACTTTAAGGTTCTATTCCTGTCTCATTTTCTTTTCTCTATACTCTTGTAAGACTGACTGACTTCATCCATTTCCATGATTTTAATCAATTCCTCTGCACTATAGTGCAGGCTCTCAAATGCACTTCTCCATCTTAACTTTCTTTTCAAGCTTGATAATGGTTATTTCCCCTATATTTCCAATTCAGTACATCCCGCACCAAACTCATTATAGGCATTCTAAGTTACAGGCATGCTAAATCCTCTAAAATTGCTTTTAGAGCCTATTAAACTAATTTCACTACTAATGGTTACGATATACAGGTTGGAAAACACTGGGAAATAAACTTACAAAGATCTTTTAGGACTTATCACAGAAAAGCCAGATTTTTTTTACCTCTATCATACATCGAGTTCTCTCTTGCTGAAATCTTTGTAAAAATGGTCCCACAAGATGATACACATAAAGCAACTGGAATTCAGTTTTCACTATAGGAAGAAGGACCTCAGTGAGAAACCTAAAATTTGAAGATTAAAAATAAAAATTTCCTGTGACTTTAAATCATTTGAATTATTTGAACTTTGTTGATGTAGCCTACCCAAGCATTTGTAAAATTTGTAATATTTTTTAAAGTTTCTCTTTCTAATTAATCTTACATTTCTCACTGGATATTATTTTCATTTGATTATCAACATAAATTACTTCAGATTTAGGAGTCATTCTCAACAGTACAATCACTGAGTGACAGAGGGGAATTACAGGTACCCCCGGATCCCCTGAGTGCTTTCTGAAAGTTTGCATCATGCCACTTTGCTTTTACAAAAGACCTACATTATTATAGCGATGTTTTTTTTTTTTTTTTTTTTTTTTTTTTTTTTTTTTTTTTTTTTTGTAAAAGCAAAAATTCTCTTTGGTCTTCTTTTGGTTTGCAAAAATAGGTACTAATATAGGTCTTCCATAAAAGCGAAGTGGCGTAACATGAACTTTTAGAAAGAGTGGGATATGCTTCACTTTACGCCATTTTGGCTTATGGAAGGTTTCACAGCAATGTTCTACTTTTGAATAGTAGGAAAAACATGTATCTGAAATAAAAAGAGAATGGCCAATCTAATATAAATGCCATACTCAAGAAATGTGAATTTAAGTAATACCAATTGTATAGTCAAGAAAAAATAATCAGAAAACAGGCTATTATGAGTTATTCAGTTCAAAATACAACTTGTGAGATATATTCTGGAAAAAGCATGTATTTGACGAAGTCTCCTGAAATTGTGATGGAAAACTAGATATCAGATTATTTCTTGCATATACAAATTAATTTTTACAGACAATTCTGAAATTAAAGAGCTTCCTCATTATTTAGAAACTCTATGTAATTAAAATTCACTTTGCAAGTTGTCCTATTGAATGAGATGCATACCTCATGTGTAAATGAGTTAAAAAACACACAAAACAAAAAAAGTCCAATTTATTTAAGAAATCATAATACCTACTTGGGAATGAGAGAAAGTTGCCCAATGCTGGAATGGTGCCACACAGCATGTGCGAGAGCTAATGTATAGCTGCAGCTCATCTCGGAGTAGGACTGATGACAAGCAGTGAAATCAAAGAGGCGGAATGGATAGCCAACCCACTCTGACTCAGATGTCAAGCTGGGACTGCTGATAACACTCACAATTCGATCATGAAGGACAATCCAATATGGCTCCTTTAAAATGAGAGGAAAGCCTGATGAAAATGATCACTTATCAAGTATTCAATCCCATTTCTAATATTCCACTCCAAAGCCTAACATAATGGAGCATTCTCATTCTTTAAAATTTTTTACTTATCTAGCTTGTGTTTTTGTGTAATGGAGATTTTGAAATCAAAAGTGAGTGGTTTCACAGTAAGTCAAATACAGTTACTAAGAACCTGGGGATAAGTGTCTGTGAGTTAGAGGGCTAGTATCTGATATTAGTGTACGGAAAATTGCCCTTACCAATACCTATTATACAGACAACACTGGTACACATATATAACTCACAGATAAATATAGATATTTTGGAGGTGTGCAAGGAAAAAATGATTGATTCATAGAGGTGCATAATCAAACAAGTTTGGAGAGCAGAGTTAGATAATGTCACTGACATCGAAAGATATCACAATAGACAACTGAATAGTGCTAAGTAGACACATGTGAGGTCACAGAAGGGAGACTTCACATGAGGGGAGGTCCAGGAAGGGTTCACTGAAGAAGCAGAACCTAAGCTGGCAAAGAATGAACAGGCTTTAGAGAAGCTGACAGAAGGAAGATGGGCTCTGCATAATGTCTCATTCTATAACACATCAGAAGTACCTCAAACATATCTCAACAAGTGTTATTTGCATGAGTGAAAGGCTCTAGATATGTAACATGTTAAGTGGTCAAAAGCAGATCAGAACTAAGGTTGGATAGATAATATACGAACTAAAGTTGGTCAGACAAAGGATACCGAGACCCATTGGTCAGGCAGATTTTTAGATCTGAAGGAGGCAAACAAAATAGTCACTGTAGGTGTCTGAAGCAATAATGATATGAAAACTTGAAAAATAGGAACCACTTCCTTAATTGCATGACGTCCTTATACAAGGGCATCTTACATGCATCTTTTTTTTTTCATGCATCTTATTCTTTTGGCTGACAGGGAACAACTGTATTCTGGTACAAATCAAAATGATTAACTCACTGGCAGTGCAGTGATGATGAGTCCAATTGCATTCATCCATGCTGTAATATTCTCTCTTGGCACTAAAGGCTGACTATAAGTGAAGAAAACAGAAGAAAAATATGAAAAAATGTGAAATTACAAAAACACCTTTATACGGTTAATAATGGATCTTATTTTGACAACATATACAAATTGGGGCTAACAACTGATCTACTCCAATAAAACTACAATGGATTTTCATTGAGTAAAAATTTAAATATCCAAAAGCTTTGTTTTTTGGTTGTCTCCTTTAACAGCGGTTGCTGGGATGTTAAGACTATTGCCACTTATTTCCACTTCTCCAATCATTATCCCCCACTTCACACTGATCTTCAAGAAGGGAATCTTGAAAGATTATCTTTAGTGAGATGATAACCTTATTCCTAACTTAAATGTCAAACAGCTACTAAAGAGTAGAGGTTCGGGGGGGGGGCAACTGAGTGGCTCAGTTGGTTAAGCGTCCGACTTTGGCTCAGGTCAAGATCTCGCGGTCTGTGAATTCGAACCCTGTGTCAGGTTCTGTGCTGACAGCTCGGAGCCTGGAGCCTGCTTCAGATTCTGTGTCTCCCTCTCTCTGCCCTTCCCCCACTTGTGCTCTGTCTCTCTAGAAAATGAATAAATGTTAAAAAAAAAATTTTGTTTTTAATTAAAAAAAAAATAGTAGACGTGGGAACAAACCCAGGTCTTCTGACCCTGTCCAGGGCTCCCTCAATTATATCTATATCACAAAGACAAAATCTGGGACCAAAAGACAATTACCGTCCCAAGTGCATCAGCCTTGGGACAACACATTTGTCTAACAGCTCCTAATAAAATATCATTCTCTTTACAAAAAACAATGAATCTTACTGCATGAAACAGGATACACACCTTTTCAGGACGACATTTAGAAGAGCATTTCCAACATCTTCGCCTGAAACGGCCAAGGCCATGAGCTCCACACAAGTAACATGCAGTGCATGGGCAGCTGGGTTGGGAAACTCATTGAATCTCCAGTCGCAGTTTGGGAATGGACCGGGAGATTTGCCAGCCATCGGTGCAGATGATTAAAGCAATAACTGTTTGCTTGTTTTGAAATTAATGGCTCATATTTGTAGAGTGCTTTACAGTTTTCCAATGTTTCACATGTAAACATCTCATTTGATTATCAATTTATGATTATGAGGCCTCAATAAGTGAGCAGAAATTAAGAGGCAAATACCATGAACCAAATACACTAATACGTTTGACATAACTGAAATGTATAATCACAAGGTATAAATAGCTGGTCTTCTATAGGTGTGCTTTTATAACTGTGACATGACAGCCATAGATGCAACCAAAGTAGCCCTAGGCTTCATCTACTTATTTCTTTCAACAGTTGTAAGGCAGGTAATAAGAACATTATAATGAGTAATTCTTTTACTTCAGGAAATAAATCTCTTTGTGTAAGAAAATAAATCATGCCCATTTACGTAAAATTGCTCTACCTAGTAAACAGCAACATGGTATACAAACATATTAAACATAGTGTGCTTATAACTTAAAACATGAAATCAAAAAAAGAAATCAAAATATAAGTAAATCAGCTTTCTCATTAAAAAGGAGGGAAAAACAAGTTTTATTATTATCTATTAATATATTTTAAAAGCATCCAAGGATTTGTTTAAAGCAACAAAATTCTAGGGGTGGGAGGGAGGGAAAAGTGGGTGATGGGCATTGAGGAGGGGACCTGTTGGGATGAGCACTGGGTGTTGTATGGAAACCAATTTGACAATATATTTCATATTAAAAAAAATAATAAAGTAACAAAATTCTATATTCTCCAGTAGCAAACAGATGCATTTACTACAATACATAGTATATTTTTTTGGAGATCAATTTTTTTTTCTTTGAAACAAACCTTGAGGTCTGTTTTTAAGATTTAAATTTTAATGGAGTGAATTTCTGCCTATTTGGCAGCTAAGTTGGTGTTGCTAATTTAAGATGTCAAAACCTTTACAAAAGTAAAAACAAAAATAATCTTAAAAGAATTGAAGCCTTGGCATGTATAAAAATATTACCTTGAGGGGTGCCTGGGTGGCTCAGTCATTAAGCATCCGACTCTTGGTTTTGGCTTGGGTCATGATCTCACAGTTTGTGAGTTTGAGCCCCATGTTGGGCTCTGTGCTGACAGCGGGGCGCCTGCTTGGGATTCTCTCAGTCCCTCTCTCTCTGCCCCTCTCCAGCTCGTGCTGTCTATGTCTCTCTCAAAATGAATAAATAAACTTAAAAAAATATATATTACCTTGAGAAGGTAGTATGTGTCCTCACAAATCAACATATAGTTATTTCTGAAAGGTCTGGAAAAATCACAATGAAAAGGATATTATCTACTAGTCTGCCAATCAATCTGCAATAGTAGGAGTCATCAGGGATCCAAGGATTTTCTTCTCGTGCATTCATGCCACACTTCAGGTACGTGTCACTTAGACACCAGCCTTGGGGTCGATTATCCTTGAGTGAGCCAATGATGGCATGCACAAGTTTTCGCTTGAGATGTGGGCGGTCTCTCAGGTGCATTTCATAATAGTGCAGAGTATTATACAAATAAGTCACTGGCCGATCTGCCAAGAAGAAAACAATCATCATGAAGTTTATCCAGTTACCAACAACTGTGAAAAACTAACCCTCTGTGTTCAAGATTACCAAAAGATAGCTCAGAAGCCAATGAAACTATTTCACATGCTGGGAAGTTGCGTACGATGAATATTTTTATTTCAAAACAAGGCAGAAGGCTTCGAATAATATATACATGGTATGTAAATGAATAACTGCTGTGGCGCTGTTGATACTAGCAAAAAGATCAGAAGAGCCTCAATGGTCAAAAACAGGGTAAATCATGGCATGTATGGATTAATGGGCTTTTTATGCACTGATAAAAATAATCCATTCCAACACACTATACAGGTATTAAAACAAGGTGCAGAACAATGTGTGTATTATATATTATTTGTGGGGGGAAAAAAAAAACAACCCTAACTACACAATAGCTAAGGAAGGAAGCACAAGGAACTGGTAACAGTCGTTGCCCACAGAGAAAGAAACTGGCTAGCTGGAGATCAGGGATGGGACTAACTCTTCTTCCCTGCATACCCTTCTCTACCATGTGCATGTTACCTAATCCAAAAAAACAAAAACAAAAACAAAATGTTTTTACAGGAATGCTCACTTGAACTTCATACTTACTCTGTAATGCTAACATGCAATTCAGGCTTCTGGTTAGGAGGAAAACATCTTAGATAAAGGACTAAGAAGAACTGCCCCCCACCCCGCCACCCCAGAGAAATATACTGTGTCCCCACAGCGGCTGCTCTAGGACTTTCATGCTCCTGTCACTGACTCCACCATTCTCTAGTCACATGGTTTCAAACTTTGTAGTTCTCTTCTTTTCTTTCTATATTCTCCCTACAAGCAGCAATCAAGGCCTGTTCCTTCTTCCTGGACTATCTGTCCCTTCTTTCGCATTCCCAGTGCCATCACAGTTGTTTAGATACTAATCCTACACCTGAAATTTTTTGACGTTAAGTTTTTGAAATGGCTTCCTCCTTCCAAAACATGCTACTGACTACAACTAGATTTAACTTTCTAAAATAATGCTCTCTATGCCATGACCTTACTCAATAGCATCTAGTTGACTCTTGATTATCTGCATGTTATAAAATCAAAACTTCTGAGCCTGGCACTTAAAGGTGATCTACATTGTCCGGTACAATGTTTAAATTCTCAAGTTAGCCAATGAGGACACTGTTGTTAAAATGCTGTGATTTTTTCCAAAAGATTCCTTCTGCCTAGAATGTTCTCTTCCTCCTGTTTAGATAAATCACATACATCACAGCTCAAATCCTATCATCCAGGAAGCCTGCCAAGACCCTTTAGTTCACAGTAACATCAGTCTGCTCTGAACTCATAACGCTTCTCTTTCTCTACACATTTGGCAATTAATCACACACTATGTAAAAGGGGGCCTCTCCTGCATATCACTTTTATTTCTGCTATTTAGTACATCTGCTATGACCTACCTATTCATATTTTTATGTCACCTACTTTATACTTCATGGCATCACTATATAGCACTTACTCCCAAAACATTTTTATTGAAAAACAATTAAAATTTGAAAAAGCTCACCATGAAATTTATATAAGCCACCAAGGTGATCTAGTAGAGTCTCCAGTGACTTGGAAACTGGAAGCAGCTCTAAAAACCTGTGGATTACTATATCAAATACTGGGAGAAATCGAAGACACACATTTCCAAAATAGATGGGGAGGTAGGGAGACTGAATCTGCACAGGAGGGTCGACCTGCTCCGCGAGGCCCTCAAAATACAGTTTCTCGGGGTACTTCTGTGGAAGTGAGAAAATGGGAAATGTTTAGGACATCTTTTTTTAAATTCTCTTAAAAAATAGAGCTAAATAAACTTGTCATTTTTAAAAGAATATGAAAACATATCTGTTTTGCAGTGCAATGAAATCTAGAGTCCTTCACTTGACAAAAATCTCTATTATCCCAAAGGTATATCGAAAAAGATTTATGTATAGAAAATTTGTGATAACCCTTTCATTTTGTATGTAAGTACTCACATCTACTAAAATTGCAGTTTCAATATATTCTTAACGGTAGAGATATTCTAGAACCTCGAGGAAGTTTAGAGAGCTAATTCACTTCTGTACAGATTAGAGAGAAAACAGTGGAACCACAGAGAAAACAGCCAAATCAATTAGCCAAATACTTAAGTCTGGCTTAAGAAGGAGTCACAGAAGCACTGATTTGAATGAGTACCTTGTGATAATTCATGTGCTTGGTGTGCCAGTCGTTCTGTAGCCAGTGCTCTGGAGAATTTTCCTTCACGAAGTCACTCACTCGATTTCTAAAATCATTTGGTTTGAGTAACAGCAACTGAATTATGAAATAACAAACCTGGGCTTCATTTCCTTCATGACTACGCATGGCCTTTGGAGAAAAACAGAAAAATGATATTAAAATGTCTGACCTGTGCAAAAGCATGGCCCCTCCACTAGATAGTCTAAATTGGAATACAGTAATACCTCACTATCATTACAGTTTCAATATATGTGGAGTCTACCCCTAGCCAACTGTTCAGAATTCCCTAAGCATATTTAACTTTCTTACTCATTTTTGGTTCTCACCATTCCTTCTGTCTAAAGTATCACTCTTTTTTCTTTTGTTGAAATTTAACCCATTTTTCAAGATATATCACCTGGGTAGATGTGCTCTCATTACTGCCTGGCGATATTTTCCTCACACCTCTATCTGATCCTTCTATCTTATTGATTTATAGACTTAGCTTACTTCCCCTACTATATCATGACCATATTTATGTTCTGCAGCTAAGAGGTTAATGTTAACCAACTAAGCCACCCCAATATCAACACTACAGTATTTTTTTTAATGTTTATTTATTTTTGAGAGAGGGACAGAGAGAGAGAGAGAGAGAGAGAGAGAGATTGAGGGACAGGCAGAGAGAGATGGAGACACAGAATCCGAAGCAGGCTCTAAGCTCTGAGCTGTCAGCACAGAGCCCGACGTGGGGCTTAAACTCATGAAGCATGAGATCATGACCTGAGCCGAAGTCAGACACTTAACCAACTGAGCCACCCAGGTGACCCAACACTACAGTGTTAAAAAAAAATAAGTATTTTCCGGCCTTGTTCAGTGTCTTCTCTTAAAATCTTGCCGAAATAGGGGTGCCTGCGTGGCTTAGTCAATTAAACATCCAACTTCAGCTCAGCTCATGATCTCACGGTTCGTGAGTTTGAGTCCCGCATAGGGCTCTGTGCTGACAGCTCAGAGCCTGGAGCCTGCTTTGGATTCTGTGTCTCCCTCTCCCTCTGCCCCTTCCCTGCTCACGCCCTGTCTCTCTCTCTCAAAAATAAATAAATAAATGTTAAAAAAAATTTTTAAAAGTTGTTTGCTGAAATAGACATCAAAGTTGAGAAAAAAATAATTTGAGGAAATATTGGGTGGCTATGAGAAACATTCAGTTCTGACTGTGGCCACCAAAGTGTACAGAAATGATTATTAACACTCAACGGCATATAAAAAGAATTATTCACCATGATCAAGTGGGATTC